CACTATCAACCAGAGAAGTGCAACCTCGATCATCAAGCAGCTTTCAGTTTTGGAACACGAACCGAACAGAAAGTCAGAAGTGATACCCCTGGTGAGAATTGATCGTCATCTTTTGTATAACTTCCCGAAATTATCTTACTTCCATAATAAGCTAACTAGAATCCTCTCCAATTCAGCTCCATCAGCGTATGCCCCAGAAAAAGCTGGAAAGCATTCGCCGGCATTTTCATTTGGATTAAAAATTCTCAAAGAAAGACAATCAGACACGCCAGGTAAAATCTAAGCATTTCGAATGAAAGTCAGTTCATTTGTATTTGTCCCATCCACAAACTACATTTCTTTTCATATTCTAGCGCCTTGTGCGTACGCTCCTGAGAAAGTCACATTAGATCACGTGCCAACTTATCTTTTTCCAAAACCTGTCATAATCCAACCAAAGGGATGGATAAAGTACGTATGAATCGTACAAATGCCAACGAACGTTGTCTCATTTACATTTTGCTTTTTTTATTTTTGTGTTTTTTTTGCTTATTTAGTGGTCGTCCAATTATCGCATAGAAGACTTCGCACTGCTTTGCCATTTTCTTTCACTTCATCTATTTCACAATATACCAATTTGTAAGTACATTGCGGCTATTCACCATTCACAAAATCCTCATGTAACTAACATTAGTCGAAAGAAAAAGATCCCAATTTTAAGCCAAACTAATCGCACTAATCGTGTTTACTAACCGAATCCAACAATTTTTCCAATTAATCAAACAAAGCTCCGAACGAGTATACGATTCCGACGGTTTTAGGATCTAGCAAAGAGGCGAACATTCGATCAGCGCCCGCCTACACGTAATAAAATCGATAATGCCATTAAAATGACTAAAAGAATTAACAGCAAATAATATTAGTTTGATAGGTCGACAAAAGACGATACAACCGCCGAGTATTCGATTCCCAGGACCGGGTGCCTACGATCCAACAGCCGAAGTTGTTATGAATAAATCGCCACAATTTTCAATGGGTACTCTTTTCAGTGCAACTTTGAAAATATTACTCATTATAGTCAAAATCGAATTCTTTTATTAAAACTCTACTAACCCGTTTAACAGGTCAAAGAATAACCAAAACGACAAAGAATGGAGGACCTGGACCAGGTTCACACTTCCCAGAAAAGGTTCCAATTTAAAACTAATTAAAACTACTAATCAAGTCATCAAAGAGTCATCAAGACGTTTGACATTTATTCGGTTCTTTTCAATTTCACATACATTTAGGTGAACCTCTCACATGTTCCTGCATTCAGTTTTGGCATACGGCATTCGTCGTACCTGGGGAATTTTACCGATTTGAAGAAATCATCATCAAATCTTGCAAAAAATGCGAAGCATTAACTCTCCAACATCCACTGTTTTCCTAACCCATTTATTTTTTCCCCTTTGAAATGAATAAAAATTGTATTTTTTTCCATTTTCTACAATAACCAACATGTTTTTTTTACTAATTAAAAATGTTATTTACTGAAAATACATAGTTGAATGATTATTTTATTGAATTTTTATTTCGTTGAAATTTGTTTCCGGAAATAAAAGTCGTCATGATTTAGATCAAAATGAAATATCATCGTACTGTGAAATGCGCAACATTTCCAATGGAGGTCGATGGATAATTGTTGATGTTATCGACCCAGTATTACTATCATCGCAATTGCTTACACAGGATGAGTTCACTGTATCTTTGCTGATTGACAATCATTTTTTTATGGTTTAAACAAGATAAATATCGCAAAAATCATTCGTCCGGTCATGAAAGTTGTTTTTTTTTAAATAATCACACGTACAAATTTCCAAGAAGAAACAGGTTTCATTTATTGATTCATATTTTGAATATTTCGGAAAATATTATTTTGATCACACACACGCTAGTTGAAAAGAAATTATCGCAAGTCCATCGTATTGATCCGTATGTCGCAGTGGTAGAGTCAGTAGCTTATTTGGAAACTTCGAACTTGATTTCAACACATGTTTTGCCCTGAAAATGGATGAGATTCGATTTCATTTCACATTATAGTCTTAATAATGAACTCCATTGTTTTTGTCACCAAAAACCATTATAAACTCATTAATCATTCATACCGTATCATGTGTAATTTCATCGCGAACGGTGATTCTACCGGCAGCCATGGGCAACATATTCTTGAACTTTGAAATGTCGACCTTTTTCGATCCATCCATACATTTGCGACCTTCTGGCACTGGGCAATCACTGGGTATACCAAACATTTCCAATTTTTCCTTTTGTTCCTTGGTCTTATGATCCAATGCACTGCAAAGGTCGGGATTTCCACTAATTGAAAAGAATAAAATGGGAATTTATTATTAAACGTTTCATCAAAAAAAGTGTGAAAATCACTGCAATTATGCAAAACTAGTCTTACCTTAACAATACATTTCCATTCTTGCTAACGGTATAGTTCACCTATTGATGAGAAAAATAAACATTTTAGAATAGTTCGATCTAGATTTTGGCGGTGACATATAGCGTATTAGCTTAGTAATTAATGCCAGTTAGTACGTTAACGAGGTATTTAGTGGGATTGACACCGCCAATATTTCGCAAAAATCTCAACCATTCTTTAAAATTACTATTTAAAAAAATATTTTGTTCTACCTTTGCCTCCTTGAATCCCTTGGACGAAATACAGCCAATCGTTGTCAAAAAGCAGTCTTTGCTTAAAGTAGCCGTAAGGTTCTGATCTACCATAAGTACATTATTTTCGGCGCAGTTCATCACCGAGATCAAATTCATTTTGTATCCATTCTATATTGATGCGAAACAAAAAACCAGATATTGTTATTTTCATTCGATTCGAAACAAGTTCTATGAGAAATTCAATGAATAACGATTGAAAACATTTCGTTACGTTCAAAATCCGTCAAAGTTTTTTTTCTTCAGAATAAAAAAAATATTTTCCATTTTAAGTTTTGCATTCGATATGAAAAAAAAGAAGTAATTTTTATTTTTTAGTTTGAGGTATGAAGTGTAATTTTGAAAAAATAGCGAATTTTCCAAAGCAATTGTGAAAAAATACTTTGAATTGTGCGCACTTGATTCCTCAAAACAAATGTGAATGCAATTTTTTCTGAAGAATAAAACTTGGAATTTCGAGTTGATGACACTTACACAAGCCAAACAGTTATCCACATAGAAGTTTAAAATTGCCAACAGTGCAAGAGTAACACACAATTTGAAATGAAACATTTTGGCTTAACACAGTGCAAAATTTTATTTTTCAAACTAAGAAGACAAATATTTGTTGGAGAATATAGATCACGTTTCTGACTGAAAGTCCAGATTGATGCTGTCGGTGGAATAGTAAAATCGGCCCTTTATATAGTAGCTCAAAGCCATCATACGCTTGAGTGACACAGATCTGCCAACTGATAGCAGAATTGCCTAAATTTAAACAATTTAATCGCAAAATTTTATGGATATGATACAACCGATTCAGATAGCTATCGACTAAGTACAATCTAATTCTTTCCGTTCATATTGATCAAGGTCAATTGTGGACGTTTCCTCGTTGCTTGCTGATATCATGATTAGTATATTACAATTACACTCATTACACGTCTACAAAAAAAAAATTTTTTTTTTCAAATTGCGAAAACGTGAAAACAATCCGGAAATTTTGATAATTAATCCCACTGCGGCACATCAAATAACTATTTCAATTAAAAGGTTTTGAAAAAGAAAGAAAAACATTTCACACTGCAGAACTTCGGTTGTCAACGAATCCCATTTATCTGCCAATGTTCAATACAGCGTGCAAGCAAGATTTTCCCTGTGAAAAGAGATAAATGTCATAAATTGAATCAAATGCAGTCGATGACATTGAATCCGAATGATTTGAACAAACTCACCGTGTCATGGGTTGCATCGATAGATATGTCAATATTTCCCATAGCCAGGGGCATAAGAGACTTATGCTTCGAGATGTCAATTTTCTGAGATCCATCGGAACATTGGCGCATCTGAACAAAGAAAATCAATTTAATTTCTGTTGAAAAATCGTTTCAATTTCTGTCAAAATCATTTATACAACCTTATCAACGGGGCAATTTTTCGGTAAGCCGAATGACATCAGTGCCGTTGCAACTCCTTTCGAATCTTTCTGCAATTCGGAGCACACGTCGGTATTACCGCTTGTGATGCGATTTCCATTCTTCAAAATCGTGTATTTCACCTGTTTGAAAATGTCGCGATTAATGAAAGTAACTGTGGCACGTATTTTTTTCAGTCCACCTACCGTACAAGTTTTAAAACCAGTTGTCTCTGCGCATCCTTTCACGGCAATTTCACAATTCTTGGTCAAGGAAACGGTCACATTAGGATCAATCTTCAATACCTGATCTGCTCCACCGCAATTCTCCATTTTCACCAAACGTGCCTTATATCCATTCTACAGCCAAAGAAAAAAAACAAAGTCGATAAATGTCTTCTTTTCTTTAAAATTTTATTCAACAACGTACACAAGCACTGCTCAAACCAACTCCGATTGCTAACAAGAAGCAAACAAATAGTTTCTTGGAATTTTCCATAACTAATTTGATTAGGTATCGATTCAATGTGTTTAGATTAATAACAGCTACCGTCTAAGTGCAATTGTGAACGGCCGGCCTTTTTATATGCATCCCATCGAGATGCATTGCGTGTTGATAACATTTCATTGTCGGTTGCCCTGAACATGATTCATGTTACATGAACTTGATTCTATTTTCAATTAATTGCACAAAGCACACCTATTCATTAAGGTTTATCTTATTAGGCTTCTGTAAACAAAATCGGAAAATCTATTTTCTAGGTGACAAACCGAAAGCAGAAGAAAAATTGCATGACCCTTCCGAATTTCCATTCGTTGACCAAATTAATTCAAAATATTTCATTACAACAGCTTGTTGTCGAACGACAGATGTGCATCTCCACGGAAGAGCAGAATCCATTTCCGATTGATGATATTTTCAGCGATAATCAGATCGATAAAAAGTCATAGGCGTTGACATCACAGAACATTTTATTCCGTTGCAATAATTATAATGAGCCTTGCGTGATTACGGTTATTTTGTGGATTTGAACAGGGATTTTTTTTATAAACAAATGTCGAAAGGGAATATCTCTTGAAATGTTGAAAGTCGAGTTGATTCATCAAAGTATTTGCATTTTCAGCTATGTCTTCTCGTGTGGAAAAAAAATAACTGACTGACTTTAGATTCAGTTGACTGTAGTTGATTGAATTTATGTTTTTGTGTGAAGTAAATCACTTTTTCCCAAAATCAGCAATTTATTCTGACTTGTAACTTTAAATGATTTCAGTTAACTTTGATAGACTAACACCACACGTTGTACTGAAATGTCAATCAAAGTAAGTCATTTTTGTCCGAAATTAGTTAACTGACTGGTCAGTTACAATATTCGCACACTGGTTACCTTCGTCTTAGATGGAATTTAGTTCAATTAGTTGATGCATCCTTTCGAATTCCATCAGTTTTCTTCTATGTTAGCGCAAACCAAAATGGAACAATTGGACTTTAAAGATCAACCAACATTTTTAGACAAACGACTTTATTCACGCATATAAAAAAAACGAATAAATTCACGCATATAAAAAAATCCATTTTAGTACACCCAACTTAACCACTAAAAAATTGCATAGTTTCAGGCTATTCTATCGAAAATGATTAGTAATACTTCTAGTGCTTCCATAATTTCCATTGAAAACAAATCGGCGTTTTTTATTCTTCGCTTCAAATTCAAATTAACGGCAAATCATTTGGCTAATCGTCAATTAGCTGATAAATGATTTCGATGTTTTTGAACGATTTATAGTCGGGCACAACAAATGGTGAACTTTTGCTGGTTTCCAAATAGAATGTGCCATTCGGTCTAGTTGTGTTTGATATGATGTCGCCACCCATTATCGTTGTGACGTTGTTGAATGTGCATCGGTTTTGCGTAATCTCATCGTATGAAGCGCATTTGATTGCTATGAACGTGGCTGTTAACGTTTCCCAAAACAATTCATGTGAACGATGATGCGAACACTTATCTACAATCGACACAATAAATAGCGCTCGTTTAATTTGTAAATAACAAACCTTTTGTAACGTGATAAATCATTTTCAATGGACACATCAACTTACCGAATAAAGTGGTCAGTATGTTTCGTTTCTTACACCCAGGCTGGAGCTTGCCGCTATTCGGGTATATGTCAGCTGCACCGAGAGAATAGTTGAGTTTAAAAGAAAATAGAGTATATAGTGTGAAAAAAAATGGAGTATTGACTAACCGTGACCCATTGGTTTTGCCATTCCGAATTTTGTGATATCGGTGTGAATGACTTGAACATAATCGGCATCAGTTTCAGCTAAGCGTTTATCTTTTTCCGCGAAATCAAAACCCACTGACGCTGGATCTAAACCAATGATGATTCCAATTTTTTCCGTTGAATTCAACATTTTTGCCGAACAACCAGCCACATGCGCACCTAAGCTGTGCCCCACTGAGAATAGGCAGAAAAATCCGAGGTCAATCACAAATTTTGAAATAGACTGATTTTCAGAAAAAAAATATTCAGTCTATTTTGAAAAATAGAGCAGATAGATGAAATCTTAAAATTCACCGAGAGTTAAATCCTTCAAACTCATTCCATATTTAACCAGTGCTTCGATTAGTTCGGCCAATCTTCCGCCAACCTTTTAACATTAACATAATTCGTATTTAATTCAGAGTTTTTCTTTCGAATTTTAATGTTTTACTCACATCTTTCACTCGCCGCTTGGCCATGAAATAGTTCAGCGTAAATGCACCTTCCAACCAATCAACGACAATGAAATTATAATCACCAACACTCAGGTACACTTGACGATAACGATCGATAATCTCTTCCTTTGCTAAATATCCGTGAATGTGAATTTTTGTCGGTAATTCTGGATCGAAGAGTGTATCATTCGAAATTGATCGTTGGTTATCTATTCTTAAAACGGTGAAATTCGTTGGATTGTCACGTTTATATAATTTAAATATCACATCTTCATCGGCATCGAATGAACTCGTACAATCGTCGAACATTAAAATGCACACACAAAATAAAAAAGCCGTTGCACTTGAATGCATCATGTACGAAACTGAAAAATTAAGTGGTTCTGTTTGCGGGAGTAGCGTGACTGCAATCGAATTCCTTTCGACTGAATGCGTTCTTCATCCGACGAGTTCTAACTTACAAATATGAATAATATTTTTTTTTTAGATCTGAGATAAGCCAACAAAAATGTCTGTGCAACAAATGTCTAGATCGTCTGCTGTCTTTCGCTTTTTATATGTAGTTCAAATACACAATCGTCTTCTTTTAATCTAATCTAGTGGGTTTCCCTTTTGAAATGTACAAATATTATTATGTTGTATATTTGCCACATAAATTCACTACCAGCATATTCTCTTCGACTCAGACAAATGGTTTCAATTTCAATAGGGGACAACGGCTTCCCGACGCAAATTTAACTGAAATAAATATTTGTGAACACTGTTATCGGTGGTTTTGGTGTGGAAGTAGAGATTACCAGAAAATCTCAAAGTAGTTCAATTTTTGTTTTTGTATTATGGTCGAGAGTAATTCTATTATGAACAAAAATAATTTGTAACTGTTTTTTTTTTCTTCAAATGATTCACTGTTCTCTTTCCTATAAATCACTTTTCTTTCGAAACCAGTTAAAACTCTATCGTACACAAAATCAAACTAATTTATACGATTGAAAATATTTGCCATCTTTTATTTAAGAAAAATCAAACGTTTGAAAAACGCGTGAATGCAGCCTCACGTCTAACCCAAATGTGTGTAAACGTTTTGCGAATAATTGTAGCGATGGGATTTCTGATTACAACTCAGCAATGGAGGGGCGTTTTGCATAATGCACACGTGCAGCAACGGAAAAAACAGTACACGCACATTACACATCTAGCGTTGTATACACAAAAAGATGGTGTAATTTGACTAACTATTGTTTTTTTTTTCAAATTGGAGGAATATTGAATGAGTAGTGGATTGCATTTGGGTGAGATCGAATGATCAAGCTATTAAATGATTTGTGTCGCGTATATTTAGAATGACGCTAAACGCCGATTAACACTTAATCCACTGAACAATGTACTGTAACTGTGTAGAATGGGGCCAGATTTTACTGTTCCAGTTATTTTTAATGGCTGCATAGCGTTGGGCGTTTGATATTTCAGTATTTATGTATAAGTTACGAGTTCAATGTTATTGAAACTTTCGTAGTCGGGTATATTGTACGGAGGCTGGAATTCAGTCTCTAAATAAAAGATTCCGTATGATTTCGACGTGTGTTGTGTAATATCGCCTCCCATGATCGCAGTCACATTGTTGAATGTGCAATGTGCATCGACTTTCTCTGATTTCCTCGTACGAAACACATTGGATGGCCATGAATTTGGTCTTTAAACTCTCCAAAAATAAGAAATGCGAACGAACATGTGAACATTTTTCTGGAAAAGACGCAAATTGAAGATGAATTGTGGGAACTTTTTTCGGAGTCATATGAAAAGAAATTACCAATTAAATTAGTTAATCTATTCCGCAGTGGACAACCTGTCTAGTTCTTTCCAGAATTAGGGTAAAGGTCAGCTAAAAAAACGATAACTTTCATAGAAGCTATTTGTAAAAATGCGATATGTTGTGAGATAAATACCGTGGCCAAGCGAATGTGAGAAACCAAACTTATCACCGTCTGTGTGGATTATTTGAACATATTCAGCGTCCGTTTCACTCAGACGCTTATATCTTCCAAAAAAGTCAAATCCCACTGAAGTCGGATCCAGACCGATTATATTCGCTGTGACTTTAGTTGCTTTGCTGCTCGACCAGCAATATGAGCGCCTGTAAATCATTTCATCGTAAAAGTCATTAGAAGGACTAGACAAAATAGTTTTGGACAAAACAAATTCTCAAGAATGAACTTAATTTTATCAGGTAAAGTCTACCTAAAGAGACCGATAAAGCACAACTCAAATTGAATAAAATCCGCCTTTGTTCATATTACCTAAGCTGTGTCCCACTGAGATTGGCAGAAAAATCCCCAAGAAGAAAAGAAAAAAAGACGTTACTTCGTTGAGTAAAAAAGAAAAGAAATTATAATCACCAATAGTCAAATCCTTCAACTTCATTCCATTTTCAACTAGATGATCGATTAATTCGGCCAGTTTTGCACCAATCTACCGAATAAAATAAAAAGTTTCAATACCCGATGATCTAGTTAATTAAATTCGATCTGCCTTCAACTAACGTGGCGAACTCGACTTCTTGCCAAATAGTAATTGTAAGTGCTAGTGCATTGCATCCAATCGACTGCAATTCAATAAAATTGAAGTCTCCTAAATCCAAGTAGGCGTCAGTATAGGTCTTAATAACCTTTTCTTTGCTTTTAAATCCATGGATAAATATGCGTATCAGTCGACCCGAATTGAATGGTGTTTCGGAAACAGAGATAAGCTAACTAAAACGTGTGTGCACAGTTTCTCGATGTCTGCGGTTCTTGATAATTATTTTTTATAGTTTAAACCCTAATCTAATCTAATATTTGAGTTTGCCACCAAAATGCACAAATGTTGTATACTTTGTACACAAATTCACAATCAGCCTATTCTTCGAAACATTGTTGCAAATTTAATGCGGCCCAATTGAGATTAAATCCTAATGTTCAAGTTTATTGTTTAATTCTTATTCTGATACAAAACAACGAAAAATAATAACATTATTCGCTCATTTTTCGTTGTCTTGTATCAGAATAAGAATTAAACAATCGAGTTGAGCATTGTTAAAACTGATACAGTTGTTCACAGATCCAATTTTTTTTTTTAAATAAATTCTTATTATAACGTTGCGTTAACGCATATATTTGACACTACTTCATGCCGAAGCCACTACTTGAACAGAGTGAATAACAAATTCCAAATTGAATTCAGCTGAAGGAGCTTGAAGCAACAATGTCAATGGAGCCCACACGGTTCTGTTAGTTTGTCGCTAAACACACATACTACTTGAACGATGTTGCTTTTTTCTCAACACAACGATTCTCGATACACGAAATAAACTTGAATGAATGTTTGTCAACATTGTTTTCGGTGTTCATTTAATACCACCAAGTTCTGCTTGAATTTACAGAAGAAGAAAATCATGAATAAATTCAATACCACACTATTCTCGCCGATTCAGACAAATGATATCAATTTTCACACGGGATCGTTGTCCCTTCAACACACGAAGTAAACTTGAAAAAATGTTATCGGTGATTTCCTGTGTAGGAAGAGAGATTAACATTTTTCAAACCACGATTTTTTTTTTAATATTTCCATCACTTTATTACTTTTTTCGTATGTTCAATTGTAATTTTAATGAAAAAAGATCGTTTTCTCTACAGCATAGTTGAGTTTTTATATTAAAGTTCCACTGATTTTGTTAGAAAAGAATAGAGTAAATTTCATTCGACTTAAAAGTTTTCGTCGTTTTTTAGTAACTGTCAAGTACCCATACACTACTATAGTACAATGCGGACACGATTTTATTTATACCTTATCCGTTTTGCGAAGATTCAAGGAAAAAACATACTTTCAATCCAATCTGTTTGATATTTACTATCCCCCCTGACAACATTCAACACTGGTGAGGCATTTAGCATAATGCAAACAGAACACGCACACGTGTACAAATATGAACAAAAAAATGTTGTAATTCGGCTGACTATTGCCTTGTCTATGGAAAAATGTTGAACGAACATCGTTGACTGTTAAACGTCGATTAACAATTGTTCTGTAACTTTATAGAATAGGGCCAATTTTTTCGTTCCAGTTATTTTTTCGGGTTGCATAGTGTCAGGCGTTGGAGATTTCAGTCTTTATGTATAAGTGACGAAATCAATGTTATTAAAACTTCTATAGTCGGGTATATTGTATGGAGGTTGAAATTTAGTCTCTAAATAAAAGATTCCGTATGATTTCGGCGTGTGTTGTGTAATATCGCCTCCCATGATCGCAGTCACATTGTTGAACGTGCATCGTCTTTCTTTGATTTCCTCGTACGAAACACATTGGATGGCCGTGAATTTGGTCTTTAAACTCTCCAAAAACAAGTGATGCGAACGAACATGTGAACATTTTTCTGAAAACAACGTAAAATGAAGATAAATTGTGGGAAATTTTTTCCGAGTCATATGAAAAGAAATTACCAATTAATTGGGTTAATTTATTCCGCAGTGGACAGCCTGGCTGATCTGATCCTCCATTGGGGTAAAAGTCGGCTGAAAAAAAAAACGATATCTTTCATAGAAGCGATTTGTGAAAATGCAAAAAGATGTGAAATAATTACCGTGGCCAAGCGGAATTGAAAACCCAAACTTATCACCGTCTGTGTGGATTATTTGAACATAGTCAGCGTCAGAATCAGTCAGACGCTTATCCTTATTGAAGAAATCAAAACCCACTGAAGCCGGGTCCAGGCCGATTATATTCGCTATTTTCCCTTGTGACTTCAATTGTTTTGCTGCTCGACCAGCAATATGAGCGCCTGTAAATCATTTCGTCGTAAAAGTCATTGGGAAACTGATTATACAAATGCTTCACAATTTTGTTTTAAAATTAAGTTCACACAAGAAAATAGTTGTTTTGCATCTGAATTGTAGCCTTTTAAACACCATTTTCAATGCTTCAACGTAACTGATCTAATAGATCAACGCAATACAACTGAGGTGCTCAAAAACTCTTGCTCATATTACCTAAACTATGACCCACTGTGTTTGAGAATAGGCAGAAAAATCCCCAAAAAGAAAAGAAAAAAGAAAAACTTTACTTCGTTGACTAGATAAAAAAAGAAGAAATTATAATCACCAATAGTCAAATCCTTCAAATTCATTCCATTTTCAACGAGATGGTCGATTAATCCAGCCAGTTTCTGAGAAATCTATCGAACGAACAAACAAACAAGTTTTAATGGCCTTTGAACTATCTAATTAAGAATGATTTGTATTCAACTTACGGATCCAACGCGGCTTTTTGCCAAATAGTAATTGTAAGTGCTGGCGCCTTCAATCCAGTCAACGGCGATAAAATTGTAGTCTCCTATATCCAAGTAGTTTTCTGTATAACGTTTAATAACTTTTTCTTTGCTTTTATATCCATGAACAAATATGCGTGTCGGTCGGCTCGAATTGAATGGTGTTTCCGAAACGGCTGGTGAGCCATTGGGTTTCAATGCATAGTACATAACCGGATCTTCTCTTGTGTAAAGTCGGAACACCAAATCTTTATTGATGTCAAATGCATTGCTGTTGAGCACACAGATTGAAACGACCACAAAAACACAACTAATCATGAGCACAAACATCGCCGAAATTGTTTGAATTCGGTTTATGTTTTCAACAAAATAAATTACCGTCCCAATTTTTGCTTATCAAATATACACGAGCCACAGACAGTATTTGATTTAAATTTCGACGTCAAAAACACTTTAATTTAAATTCCACAGACGCAAAGCGACTTGCTTCCATCACTTCTAGATCACAACTGACTCATGGCCTCGACCGTGTTGCTAATTTGTTTTCGTTTTTTCTTCTTTTCTCACACAATTAATCGCATTTATTATACTCCACTTCGACTGTCGTTGTGTGTATGGCAGCAGTATGAACACAAAACGAATCGTATGTAGATGTGCATGTTGCCAATATTTATGTTTCGGCTCTTTGTGTGCTCATTCTAACCGTTGATATGATTACGGCGAAACAATCTTTTGTGCCTTTAACTCTGGGCTATCCCGCTTATCTTCACTTTATCTCTTTTAAACCGATTTTTTTCTACGAATTAATCGTGTGAAAACCAAACCGCGCGTTAATGATTCATGCCAAGCTTAAAATGTTTAAATGTTTGTTTATTCATTCGGTTTCCTATTAATAAAACAAATGCCATAAAATCGTTTATTTAATTTAAATTGACACAATTCATTCAACCAAAATACGAACGAAACAGGTGTAATACTGAATATTTACCTAAGTAAGACGAAAACGAATTTTGCAAGGTTGTTATACTCAGCCTATGGCATAAGTTATCGCTTTATTATTTATTGAAACTTCCATACACCTTAGACTATTGCAAAGCTATTATAGACACATTTACCTCATACATTCATTCCGCATCGTTGACATTTTGCCGTTCATATTTTATTGTCACAGGTCACAAATTGATTTGAGAACCAAATGATATATACTTTCCGCGCTTGTGTCATAGAATGGTCGTGTTTTTGTAATTGTAGTACTGGTGGATTTTATTTCGTTTGTATCTGTTGTTGAGTGATATAATTTCTATGCAATTCAATTGTATGTACGTCACATAGTAATGTGATAATTACCATTCAGTTTTTTTTTCACGTAATTCACAACGAATTCAAAATGAATGTAATAACTAACAAACAATGAACAGTTTGAACGGATGTCACATGCTGTCCACATTCTATTCTATTTAACAATCAAATCAGCTGATTTCGTTTTCAATACCTTGTTATTCACATCGTTCTGTGGGAAGGCAAATAAAATAAACTGAAATGAATAGAAAGAGAAAGATCGTATGATTCTGCATTCTCATTGTGATAACACTTTTGCTGTTCATTCAGGTGGTATTTGAAACACTCTAAATGGAAATTGTAGAGCAATGTGAGTTTGATCGTATTTGTGGAGGATAAAAGAATGAAAAATATATATTCGGCGGAAAAGTTTACTTTTACACAAAAATTTGCTTCAAAAACCATGCACAGATTGCACACTGATGCGCAGTTTGGAATATAAAAACGCTAATTGATTGAATAATTGATAAAGTATTGATAATGATATCGTGATATCTATAGATAATACACTATCTTTTGTACAGTGCATTTACATCGGCATAAAACTGCTTTTGAACAATATTAATTGCGTTTCTAATTTTCAAACTAACGCTTGCCATATATAATTGCCAAGTTCCAAATACTTTGTCTTTCAGATTGCGAAATTAAAGTGTGGTGTGTCTAATTGCATTTTAAATGATTCAATTTAATTTCACACTTTTTGTTATCTTCTTTGATAGATAATCACGTATTTACTGAGAATTTTCAGAATAGTTTACACTGTTTAAATATTCAATTACTCATGAATGATTTAGAAGCAATTACAATTGATTTTACTCTCATATCCATACCACCTACACCTCTTATAATAATTTTCCTCTCATACCGTTGCGCTCTCAATTTTCATGCATTTTGCAATATTTTGTTCGGCATTCGAAGACTGTGAAATGAATCGTCAATAAAGGTGTGACTATCACGTTTTTAAGCAATCGCTATCGCGCGGTTTCGGTGTGAAAAGGGTGATCAATATCTATTTCAAACCAAAAAAGTTCCCCAAATTTAAACATTCTTTTTCAATTAATGTGTTCAAGTATTCGTTTAAAGAATTGCTTGTTATCTTTGATTTTTTTGAAACGATCGACGGTTTTCACTCAAAAGAACACCATAGAGAGAACGAATCACATTCTTACGAAAGAGATAAAACGGCAATATCCTACAAAATTAAACAAATTTATGAGATTAAAAGCATTTTCCGTTCTTTATTAAAGTAAAAAAACAGTAAGTTTACTGATAGAATTTCTCATTACAGACTGAATGTGCATTTTGCACTTAATGTTCTCTTGGAATTAGGTGACTTTACGTATAAGCGACGATTTCAATGTTATTGAAATGTTTGTTGTCGCCCATATTATATGGTGGTTCGGCTCTAGTTTCTAAATAGAATATTCCGTATGCTTTCGGTATGTGTTGTGTAATATCGCCTCCCATGATCGCAGTCACATTGTTGGTTGTGCATCGATTTTGTTTAATTTCATCATACGAAGCACATTGAATGGCCATGAATTTCGTTGTTAAACTCTCCAAGAACAAGTGATGCGAACGGCTGTGGGAACATTTGTCTAAAAAAATAACACAATAATGTTAAGTTATGTGAATTTCTTTGTGGGAATCATATGAAAAAGTACCCAATATATTATTTGAACATCCAGGCTGGGATCTTCCGAAATTAGGGTAGAAGTCGCCTAAAAAATGATATCTTTCATAGAGTTTGTGGAAAAAATAACACCGTGCAACACATGTCAAAACACATTGGGGTTTCAAATCTACGTTCATAGAGGACCCCAATACAAACATTTCTGCATCATTACTTTCTCAGGAAGAAGTCTGAATAAGAAAGTTATGGGATTTGGTAGCCATTTCTTTAGCATATGAACATAATTCAGTGAATTTTCGATTGAAACACTGAAATTATGATAGAAATCTATATTAATATTTACGTTACTTGAAAGGTGAGACCGAATTTGTTGCAAATCTGGATGGGAATATGAATTTTGTAATGTGAATGCGTTAAAATAACGCTTCAGGCACCTGAGTTAGCAAATTCAGCTCAGCTCAGCTCAGGCCTGCTCAGCAGTAAATATGCAATCTCTGTTTTTCAGTTTTAGTGAGTTCAAACATGTTTTGTGCTATATCTAAGGAACCACCCAACAGATTTTAATAAATTATTAATATAGATTTCTATCATAATTTCAGTGTTTCAATCGAAAATTCACTGAATTATGTTCATATACTAAAGAAATGGCTACCAAACCCCATAACTTTCTTATTCAGACGTCTTCCTGAGAAAGTAATGATGCAGAAATGTTTGTATTGGGGTCCTCTATGAACGTAGATTTGAAACCCCAATGTGTTTTGACATGTGTTGCACGGTGTATGTGGTAAGTACCGAGACCAAGTGGTTTTGCAAAACCAAAGTTATCGCCGTCCGTGTGGATTATTTGAACATAATCAGCGTCTGAATCAGCCAAACGCTTATCTTTATTAGAGAAATCAAATCCCACTGAAGCCGGGTCAAGAGCGATTATATTCGCTACTCTCCCTTTTGTCCTCAGTTGCTTTGCAGCTCGGCCAGCAATGTGGGCACCTATAAATAATTTGAACATAAAAAACATTAGAAAAACTTGTCATAAAAGTTATTCGTGTTCCCAACAATTTGCACTTCAAAAATTAGTTACCTAAACTATGACCAACAAGGGTCAAATCCTTCAATTTCAATCCGTTTGCAACGAGATGATCGATTAATTCAGCCAATTTCGCAGCAATCTACCAAACAAATAAATTTCAATAGCCTTTGAACTATTCAATTGAAAATGATTTGCATCCAACTTACGGATCCAACTCGACTTTTTGCCAAATAGTAATTGAAAGTGTTGGCGCCAGAAATCCAATCGACTGCAATGAAATTGAAGTCTCCTAATTTCAAGTAGGCTTCTGTGTAACGCTGAATAGTCTTTTCTTTGCTTTTATATCCATGAACAAATATGCGTGTTGGTCGGTTCGGATTGAATGGTGTTTGCGAAACGGCTGGTGAGCCATTGAGTTTCAATACATAATACATGATCGGCGCTTCTTTCGTGTAAAGCCGAAACGCCAAATCTCTCTCAATGTTGAACGCACGGCCATTGAGCACACAAATCGAAGCGATCACAAACGCGAAACTAGCTATTCGCACTAACATCGCAGATGATTAATAATTCGATTTATATTAATGACAAAAAATGTACTGTTTCAATTGTTGTTGTCTGGAAAGTAACTTGATTTAACCACTTCTAGATCACAACTGACTCACTGCCCCAACCATATTGCTGATTTTGCAAATATTTATCTTTCGGCTTATTTGTGTCCATGATTAAGACGCAATAATCTATTATCGTTGATACGGGACTGTCCCGCTTATCTTCCCTTTATCTATTTTATACCAAACAAAAAATATATAATTTTATCGCGTGAAAACCACACCGCGTATCGATGATTCATTCCGAGCTTAGAAGCTTTTCTTTACTTATTCCATTTCTTATTAATGAAACAAATGACTCAAATTGCGCTTTTCAAAAACACTAAATCAATCAGATGTACAAGTTTGAATCCAACGACACACCATTTATTTCATTTCATATTTTTATTTAACAATATTGAATCCAAGCACATATCCATGGGTAAGGTTGAGAGTAGTGTATGTTTCATTGACTTTCTTACGAAAGAGAAGAGTAAGTTTCTTTCGGCTTAAAAATAGTTAAAGTAGAGTATGTATTTTCACTGTTTGTGGCTATGATAAAGGCGGTTATGTTTCATAAACCCTGATTTGCGTTAAACAAGAGTATGTATTTTGTTAGTTTAGAATACCAATAAACAGGAGTATGTTTTTCTGACTTTGGCTGTTGGAAAAGGCGAGTATGTTTGTCCAAATTGGTGAATATTATTAATTTAAGTATTAGACAAACATAATCAAAAGAACTAATCATTTGTACATCTGGCGGCTCCCAATACTTCAATTTAACACATTGGTTGAAAAAGTAGAGTATGTTTGCATGAATGGTTAAAAATATTAAGTTCTTTCGACGAAGAGTATCAGGAGTTCATAATTGTTAGCATTAAACAGAGAACGTAATCGAGCTTTGCTTATTGTACAGCATCACCATGAACGAGCGGTATACGAGCCAATGTAAAGAGTAAAATAACAATATCCCTGAAACCGTAGCGCATGGAAAATAACACAGAAGAAATGTGACAACAAACAAAAATTGCGAAATTGCAACGCATCGGAGAGAGTGAGAGAATCTCTTTCACTCACGCACAACAGCAAATATCCATAACACGCTGACACCGACTCAGTGATGTCAGCAATACAAATCAATTGTTTTGATTTGCGTTGGTATTGGTTGTCAGTGTCAGCGTATTGTGAATATTTGCTGTTGTGCGTGAGTGAAAGCCGAAAATATTAAAGTGTGACAGAATGTAATCTTTGTGATCGGGCAACATTTTACTTCATATTGCTCAATGTTTTTGACGTAAGTTTTGAATTAATGTGAACAATATTCTATGAATTAAAGTGGTTCGTAGGAAGAACTTCGTATAAATGTTCTGATGGTGAAATTGCGAAAAGACAATTTTGTTAATGTAAAAACAATTTCATATTAAAGTTAATGGATCTCATCAGTTTTTTTTTTTCATTTTTATAATCATCAATTATAACCTATCAGGTATATTACTACTAATAGTGAGTCATGCTATCAATTATTATCGGTACTTTTATTAGAGGCAAATATGATTGAAAAGGAACATTTGCGATTAAAAGGGAACATCAACAATTGATGACAGAAAATAACATGATAGCAGCACTAATTATATTATCAAATGATCGAATTATATTTTGTATCTATCAAAATTCACTATGCCAATGTGCAGATTTCTCAGGGAGGATAATTCGAAAATATTAACATGGTTTTAATGGACATGTTATGTAATATAACTTATGTTCAGTTGAATAATCGGAGTCTTCTTTATGAATGACGCTTCATAAAATTGGACATATATAACCATATAAGTAATGATTGCGGCTGTAAACTGGAATGATAAACCATTAGAAACAGCATTAGCTTGAAGTGATTCAATTTACTTTGAAGCAAGTTCCAATTTCAATTGAAAATAGTCCCTTAGCATGCAGCATAATTGGATGATGAATAAGGTGAAGTTGAGACGTTTCGATCTAAAATTATTACTTTTTACATGTTAAGCAATTGCTTTATGAAGCATACATTAATGCGATTGAGTTAGTTAACATAATTATATAATACTCATTACCTGTATCATCAATAGATCATCTCGAACATTCAAGTCAATATTGTTCAATTGAAAAACTATATTCTTTGTCTAAATCCGAATATTCAATAAATAATTTTATAACTTATTAAACTAAAAATAATGAATTTAAATGAAGCTTTACCTCTTTGGAACACCGTGCTGCAGTGTTGAATAGATAAAATGTCAATAATGGCGAATGAGCAACCCAAATTATTTGATCTATTGAAAGACGTTCATTGAATGTTGATCGATTAGTTTTAAAATTAGTATTTTGGATAAGACTTACTTATAGCAAAAGCAAGAAATAGCTCATCAAAATGTGTTAGCATCCAATTCAAGTCAGTTAGAATCATATAAAAGCAGTACGAGACTGCAGCCACTTGAGATAAACCAAATATCATATTTAGATAATTAGTCATTTTGTAAATGGAGCTGTAATATTCACGAATCCTTTTAAATCCTTTTGATTGAAGCCAAAAACTCATGGCATGCTTATTTTGTTTGAATTCATTATTGATCACTTTCATTTCATTGTGTAAGACTTCCAAACAGAATATATAGTAGAACACTCGGACTTCGCATATTTTCATTATTATAATGTAGACATATATGTAATCAAAGAGTTCGCCATTCAACATTGTACCAACAAGAAGACACCAAAGTGTCGTTTGGAGATACACTGTTGACTTCAATATAAAAAAGCCAAAAGTGGTATTGTTTTGATGACAATAAGAGTCGTTGATTTTTCCAAGAGTTTCCCAGAAAGCTCGATGTTCTCGCTTATGAAAAATCGAATCCACAACAATAAACAAATAGAAATAGAGCGTAGTCGAGTATTGAAATATTGAATTTATCGCTTCGATCATTGGCAGAGAAATCATGTCAAATATCAAGCGAAATTTATAAACTATGAAAAGTAACACCAACACAACATGCACGATGTAAATAAAGCAGGTTATCTTTCGATGTCGAGATAATTTGGATGATCCTGAATTGTATCCAAAAACGTCGAAGAAAGTCAAAAGATATTCTATTCTTTTTGGCAGCATCTCGATCCTAATCAATTGATTTTTTCAAATAATCTTGAAAATTTGTTGGAATTCAAAGCAAAGTGAATCGGGTTGATATGCCCGAAGTGGGTTTCAAACAATAAACGGTATAAAATTTTCAATCCAATAAACCAATGATCATTGAATTTTATTCATGTCCCGAGAGACATTATTTTGTAACCTGTTATGAGTTTTCAAGTATCAACTTGTATGAAGGCCGAACTAAGCAAGTGCGAAATACCCACTGAACGTGGATTGTCCATGGAAAGTTATGAACAACCATAATCGAAAAAAAATATTATCGATTCATTCTTTGCATTCATCTGAGTTCATTTGCACAAATTATCATGGCCTTTTGCATGCATTATTAATTGAATGCTATTGAAATGCGCATTAATTCCGTTTGTTTTCATCAATTTAATTTCACATGGCTCAAATCCGAAAATTGAAAGTATATAATCATATACGTAATAATTGCGCCTGTAAACTAAAATGATGAGATAAATTATTTAGAGATGGTTTTAAATTTAAATGTGTCATTTTACTTTAAAGAAAGTCCCAATGTCAATCGAGAAAAGACCTTTAGCATGCAGTGAAATCGAATGATGGATAAGGTGCAATTGCGTTGTTTCGACCTAAAAGATGTTTTTTTTTTAAACATGATATGAGCTTCATTTTTATACGAATTATTATTACCTGTAACATAAATTTATCGTCGTAAACACTAAGGTCGATGTTGCCCAATTGAAAGACTATATGGTTTTTCTACAACAAAAAATGTATTCAAATCACCATTATTTTGGCTATAATATTTAAATGAATCTTTTCCGAACTTTACCTCTGTGGAACACCGTGTTGCCGTTTCAAATAAATAAATCGTTAGGAGTGGAGTATGCGCAATCCAAATGGCTTGGGCTAATGAAAATTTTGTTTTCACCACTGTTTGAATTTTAGTTCAGATAAAACTTACTTCTATTGATTGCCTTAGAAAGAGCATAGGCATGAGTAAAAAACCAAGTAAAATCGGTGATCGTCATGTAAAAGCAGTACAAGATCGCAGTCACTTGAGACAAACCGAATATGTTGTTTAAATAATTAGTCATTTCATAAACATAGCTGTAATATTCACGAATCTTTTGAAATCCTTTTGATTCTAGCCGGAAATTCGTATCACTTTTATTTTGTTTGAGTCCATTATTGATCGCTACCATTTGATTGTGTAAAACTTCAACACAGAATATATAGTAGAATACACGGAATTCACACATTTTCATTAGTATGAAATAGGCATATACAAATTCGTACATTTCATCAACTAGTAGAGTAACTACAGTTAGACAACAAAAAGTCGTAATAAAATATAGCACAATTTTTAATATAAAATAACCAAAAGTGCAGTTGCGGTTATCAAAATAAGATTCGTTGATTGTTTCAAGAGTTTCCCAGAAATCTCGATGCTCTCGTCTATAGAAAATCGAATCCACTATAATAAGCACCCAAAAATATAAGGCAATAGAGTATTGAAACATTGCATTTATCAATTCGATTATTATTGGCTGAGAAATCATATCAAATATCAAGCGAACTTTGTAAAGTGTAAAAAGCAGCACCAAAAAAACATGCACAATGTAAATGAAGCAGGTCATCTCTCGCTTTCGGACTAATTTAGATGATCCTGAATTGTATCCGAATACGTCGAAGAAAATCAAAAAACACTTTATTCGTTTTGCTAACATTTCGAAATGTCAATCGAAGCAACTTTTTTCAATTATGTTTCGAATAAGAGTTTTAACGGCAAAGAAATGTTACAACACCAATTCCACCAATTCGAGCAAGCAATTGTAAAATTAGAAAATGATTTAGGTTTTAAAACTCATATTCATTTGAAATAATCTAATTATCGAATTTATTTTAAATTTCTTGAATTCGTTAGATCAAACATGTGTTTAAAGATTGCTGAGCATCTCAGCATTTCGTAAGGCACGGATATATCCGAGCATATCGACGACGCATACTGTATAATACAGTGGCGTGTGTTGCTACGTGCAGCCGCAACGCACGCCACTGTATGCGTCGTCGATATGCTCGGATATATCCGTGCCTTACGAAATGCTGAGATGCTCAGCAATCTTTAAACACATGTTTGTTAGATTGATTGTATGCAATCGTATGGGAAAACGATAAAAGATAATAAAAACTAGTCATGAAACGTAAAAAAAAATATGGCAATTTCATTAAACAAATGTCACAATTCAAATCGTATATGGACAAACAATCAGGAATAATGTACACCCAAAATGCGACAGTACGTCAAATGTTTCGAAGTCACATCCAGTTGGATGCGAGCATTCGTCTTTCGAATACGCGAAAATAAGAATGGATATTAGTGCGCGTGTGTATTAGTGCCTCTGCTACTATAACTATCGCTCAAGTCTCCTTACTAATACACGCGCACTGTTCCTTATTCTCTTGTTGGCGTATTCACTCTTATAATTACGTATTTGTCATACGTAATGTATAAATTCGAACAAAAAAGAGAGATAGCTCATAGGTCATTGTAAACATGAACTCGCAGTCTGTCGATACACGTGTGTTATGCACACACGATATACCTATGTTGTTTTTTTGCCTCTTAAAAATGGAACATTTCCAAAATTGTCTACAATTTGTTAGCTCTTGATTTCAATGAGACTTTAATCACACCCTCGAAGCGTTGACCACACATTTCTTTATCAGTTGATAGAAGAAGACATTTTACTACACTTATCATTGTTATGCTTCTGTTGTTAGGTTTACGAATACCTGTGTTCTGTCCAAAATTGAAGTGTGCATTGTTATTTTGTATAAAAATATTTTTATTAATACTTTCGCAAGTTGCCAAGCTGATAGGTAGCTGTACAATTCGCACTGGCATGAATCATTAAACCGGAATTTTTTGTTTACGCTAATAAAGAATTTTCCCCCGTCAAATACTTGCACAAGTTGAATGATTCATTTAATTGACGAGATAAAAAAGCCACTTGAACATTAAAAATAGCCAATTTAATCGCGCACATTCTTATTAATTTTGTCCCAAATTTCGGGAAATGCTTGTTCGCAATTCAATTCTTTTCGCATGCGATCGTATAGACGATGATCGAACATTTGACGGAATTCGTCTTTGGTTTGATAGCAATCGGCGTGTAACATTTGGAATCCATTCGCTTTCCGAGCAATATCCTCGAGTTGACGGGTTGTAAGCTCAGCATGGAATTGGCAACGTTTAACCTTGGCCGTACCATAAATGCCGATGTCCACATACATGTCATCGTCTAAGCCAGGAGCTGGATGAACTAAACCACCTTCATTCCATAAATGGAATGGACACAACCACAGCGGATATACTTTGATCAATCTATCGAATTTACGGAGAGTATCGGCCATTTTGGATGTTGGCACCAATATATCTTGCAGCACTTGTGTTTGTTCATACATTTTTTTCACCGCTTCAGTTTGCGTTAGTTTCAAAAATGATACTTTCACCGGCATCAACCAACCGAATAAGTATCGGAAAACCGGGTGATTTCCAAATGGAACAATGTCCTAAGAAAGGAACTCGTAATATTTTCAATAAAGTTTGCAAAAAAGAACTGGCAAAAGATTGCAATGACCTACCTGAAGTTCCCAGAATAAAGCACGTGAATGGCGATGGTAATAGTCTCTCAGTGGCATGTATTCAAATACTGTTTGACCCAAAGGGACGACACGTTTTGACGAAGTCTACGGCGAACTCATGAACTATCGAAAAGTCAATACAAAATGATACGAGAGTTCGTGGCGCTGCGAGCGCTCAAATGATGTTTGCACTGAAGTGTCGTCAGCTTGGTTTGACCTTTTGGTACAGTTCGAAGAATATTTTCTGCATATTTGAAGAACCATGGCTTATACCATTTGCCGATTTCGTTAATCTACACGTAAAAATTGAACGGGTATGTGAGAAGTTCTGATTCAGTACATAATGGCCAAAAATAAAAGGAACCTTCTCTATACCTTCCTATGATCGACTTCATGGTCGGCCACCATGACAGCTGTTATCATAACCGCTTCATCCAATGAGTATTGAATAGCTTCGACAAAATGATTGTTTGAATCGCAGCTAGCTTCGTTAAAGCGTTTGGCAATGTCATCTATTCCGAACATTGGTTCATATTCGATGCGTATGTATCTTTTGAAATTTGGAAATTGACAAATGAATAGAAGAAATTGAAGAACGTGGTGAAAATACAAATAAAAATTTACTTTGTGGCCGGTATAATTTCAAGTTCAACAGCAGTTAAAAAGCCCAAAGTGCCCATACTCCAGGGAATGGCATGAAATAGATCGGAATTTTCTTCACGCGAGCAATTAACAACACTTCCGTCGGCCAAAACGACTTCAAATGACAGGCAAGTATGAGTCAATAGTCCATAAATATGTGAACTGGATTCCACGCCAACACCATTAACCATACCGCCTACTGTTAAGTCTTCCAGTTCCGGCACAATAGCAATTGTCCAGCTAAGTTTCGCCAATGTAGCCGAAAGTTGACCCATCGATACCTAAATGAAACGAAAATTGAATAATGGTGCAAACTAAATAGAACCATAGATTGAACTAAGCAATACGATACCATGGGTTCAACTCGAACGGAACGCTTTTCTCGATTGATTTCCAAGATGTCAAACAAATTACAGTCGATTTGGCACATACTCAATTTGTATAAAGGCTTTCTAAATGACATGGTTTGATAACCAGGTCGTGCTGTGCACATTTTCTTCGATTTGTCCGTTTTATTCCAAGCTTGTACCTAGTTTTTATCAAATATCAATTTTAAATCTGCCGTAAAATAAAGCAAAATTTGATGTGACACAAAAATTACCTGTTTCTGGACTTTGCGAACTTTATCATCATGGGTACGTGGTGCGCTGTTCAAATAAAAAATGATTTTGTTACGTGTATAATACCACAAGTCATAACAAAATGACATGGGCAACAGGAGGAAGCACACAAGTATCCATCGATAGTCAACCAACAGAATCTCCATAAAAGTTTCACCTTTAAAATCAATAATCTCGTCACTATCCATGCTATATAGTTCTTTTTTCTATTGCAAAACCCTCTTATTAGTAGTCTCAAACAATATATCGATTTGGTTTCGTTCACACTATAAACGTTACTGAATAAATAAAAGTGTTTTCTACTTCGTCAAGATAGTTTATTAATAGAAGACGTTTTCAGCTCTCGGGTATAATTTATTTATTGCCTTGCTACTTCGATGTCTACAACCAAAATAAGCACTTAAACCGAATTGACATCGGTCTTATATAAAATTCGATCACTCCCTACTTCATGAGTTCGGTTGAAACAACGGTTGGTCATTAGATGTATCGATGATCTCAAGTGAAGTGCGAATATTCCTGCAAGTGATAATTCAGAGGTGAATCTATTTTAAGCACCTATTGTATTCATGAACAATGGACAATTGATAAAAAGAAGCTTATCAAGTATGCAGGTGCCTGTTGCACAGTACAGTTATAATAATTATAAATTTTGTTTGAATTATTCGTAGAATTGGATTTATCGTGTCAATCAGTGACATATTTGACATTAAGCCAAATATTAGGTGAACTTTAAAAAATGTATAGAACAACACTAATAACACATGCACAATGCAGATAATGTAGGCCCCATTTTGGAGGCTGAACAATTCAGATGATCCGGAATTATTTCCAAAAATGCCAAAGATCATCAAAAGGCATTTCATTCTTTTTGGAGTTATTTTTTAAACGTTTTCAATTTCAGAGAAATGAATTCTACAATCGAATTTCATTTGATAAATAAAAATGAATTTAAAAAATGTATTCGATTTTTGCATTTATTCTATCTATTGCATGTGAAATAAGTTGATGAGTGTTAGCTTAAAAGACCTGAATTGGATGAATACAACATTCTTTAATTAGTGTCAAAGTGGCGCATAGCGATAATGTATAAATTAGATCGATTTATTTGTATTTGTAAGTCATTTTATATAACATCCATATGATCCAATATCCAATGATTATTGTAATGCATTCTCTTTTGTCAATAAAGCTTCATAAAACTGTATGTATATAACTATATACGTAATAATACCGCCTGTAAACTGAAACAATAAACCATATGAGAGTGCACTCTGAGTTGAAATGAGCCATTTTACCTTGAACAATGTTTTATAGTCAATTGAGAAGAGTCCTTTGGCATGCAACGAAATTGAATGATGAATAATGTGCAATTGCGTTGTTTCGACCTAAATTAATGATGCATTTTTCAGATGTGATATGAATTTCTTTTCCACTTTCTTTACCTGTGTCATCAACATATTGTCGCCTCTAGCGTCAATATTACATACTTCAACGACTATGCGCTCTGCCTGAAACCAAATAGATTCAATAATTTATATGAATTTTGTTATGTTTTTTTAAATGAAATTGTTTTCAGAACAATTATACTTCAGAGGAACATCGTGTTGCACTTTCAAATAGATAAAGTATCAATAGAGGAATGTGCGCAACTAAAAATATTTGGGCTAATGCAAGATATTCATTGAATGTTTTTGTTTGTTGGTAAATTATCATTAGTATAATAAGACTTACCTATAGCAAACAAGGAAAATAGTTCATTTAAATGTGTCAATATCCAATTAAAGTCAGTGAGAATCCTGTAGAAGCAATACGAGATTCCAGCCACTTGAGACAAACCAAATACTTGGTTCAAACAATTTGCCATTTCGTAAACATGGCTGTAATGTTCATGGAACATCAGAAATGCCTTCGAATTCAGTCTTTTATTCATCTGATTTGCTTTGAATTCATTGGCCGTAGTTTTCATTTGATTGCATAACACTTCTACACAGAATATATAGTAAAATTCTCGTATTTCACACATTTTAATTAATAGATAATAAGTACACACAATTACATAGAGTTGAAAATCTTTTGTGAACACAATCCCTACAATACCCAGAAGTGTTACACACAAAAATTCGGTTATCTTTACAACAAAAGTGGAAATTCGTGGCTGTGAATAAGTTTTGTTGATTTTTTGAAAAGTTTCCCAAAAAATGCGGTGTTTGTGCCGGTAGAAAATCGAATCGATGACAATGAAGTAGTAACAGTAGAGGGCTGTTGAGTATTGAAATAATGAATTTATCATTTCGATTAGTGGCAATGTTGAAAACAATCCAAATATCAAGTGAAATTTGAAAAGCGTATAAAATAACACCAGTAGAGTATGCGTAATGTAAATGAAATGGGCCGTATTTCGATGTCTGGACAATTGAGAGAATCCAGAATTATACCCGAAAATGTCAAAAAAAATCAAAAGATTCTCGATGCCTTTTGGAAGCATTTTGATATCCTATTCAAAATACTTTTCCAATTGTTCTTCGAAAAGTGGTGAGACTCGACTTTAAACGATTTGTCTAGTTCACAACGTAGTTCATTTAAAATTTATGTGAAAATATTAAAACGAAGGAATCATTTCGATTGAAGTCAAATGAGCTTTTCTGTGTTGACTTTAAAGACCTCAACTGAATGAATGCTTTTGAAACAAAGGTGGACGTAAGCTTTTATAGCTTTTATGAGAAAATTATCATCGATCAATTTGATTGATTCAATTAATTGCATTCGACCACAAAGTAGTACTGATTGTAATATCGCACAGCAGAGCCGATACAATACATATAAAATCACTATGTTCACCAATAGTAATAGTGGTGTTCTGTCAAATTACCAATACAAGTCGTGCATGTTGTAAAAGTACTTCTGTGTGCTCAAGGACAGAAAGCTTATGAAGTAAAATCCATAATATACAGCTGTCACTTTATTAACATATTAATAATTTATTAATTTTTTAATAAAATGATTTTTTTATTAACGTTAATAAATATAGTGCATTTTATTAAATTATTTTAATAAAAAAAACGCCAATTTTATTAAAATTTTATTCAATTCTTAACACAGACGATCAGAGAGGCTGAAGAATATCGCTTGGAATTATGAATGCATAGTTTGTCTGTATTTCAATTGATCTTGGACCATTTGTCGAAAAACTTTGTACTTTCGATCGTGATAGTCATGAAGCGCTGGATTGGGTCGAACCACTTCACATCGACTTGCCATTCCCTTTGAGGCTAGCTCAAGCGTTGGGAACAGTTTGGCCGCACACGCTGCCAACATTGCCGATCCAACGAGAACCATTTCTTCTTCATCTGGCACTAATACTGGGATTGCCAACACTTGAGCATGTGTTTCCACATACAATTGACTTTTTCGCAATCCACCACAAATCAAAAGCGAACGAAATGGTTTTCGACCACTGTCTATTAATTGATCCAAAATGTTCCGCGTTCCATACTGCATTTTGAAAATAAACACATAAAATTAATTGACAGTTATTATTTTATCATCCAAATTTCATCAATTCAAAATTTGATAATCTAAATTCACTTACAGAAAGTGCCTGAACAAAGCCGAGATATGTGAGTGCTAGATTATCAACGGTTGCTGACATTGTCAGGCCACAAATCATGCCCTTGATCGTTGGGTCAGCAATTGGTGATCGATTTCCATGCAAATCGGGCCAAACGTGAAAATCTTTTGTCAGAAAATGTACACTGTCCAACATTTGTTCCTGGGCCATTCGATCCAATTGTTGACAGAGATAATCGAAAACGTGCCTACAATTCAATTTTTTTCAGTTCTTCAACAAATTTCTCATCAAGATCGAAATTTAGAAACGAAAATTAAAAATTATTTCATTTGATTGTTTCGGAGGCGAACTTACGTTTTGCCAGCTTTTTCGAGTGCTTCATTGTAGGCCGGATGACTTTTGACGACATAGTCAAGTAGAACACCTGTTGTTGATTGTCCACCTGAATGAAGGTAAAAACCAGGGAAAATGACATCTTTGAACGGTCCCCACAGGCCTAAAGTTGAAACATTGATTCATTCAGTCTTAATGTTGCAATAATTTTCAATTTTATCATTTTGAGATTGGATTTGAAAGTGATTACCGCTGGCCCAGATCAATTCCTTTTCCACCGACAAGTGACCTGAAGAAGATCCACAGATCGAAGCCACTTTTGTTGAGATCGAATCATCGATACCGTCGGCATGGCAACCAAGCAAACACAACGCGCCGGCATATGCATCAACCAACGATGCACCCACCGGTGTTCCAACATTCAATCCCAATTGACGAGCAGCTTGTTCATTTAATCCTTTTCCAATGGCAGCACCGGGTGTCGTTACATTCTTACCTAAAATCGCAAAATCATCCGCACACAAATCGGCCATACCAAGTTGCTCGTAGAAATCTCGCGACCATTTCCGATTGAATCCATCATAATTCCATTTACAGACGGCCGAACACAATGATCGAGTATCGTCTCCGGTACATTTCCACGTCAAAAAATCTGGCAAATCAAATAATTTACCCACTTTGGACCAACACTTATCATATAAATTCGATTTCAACCACATCGCTTTTGGTACTTCATTTTCCAGTGAGACTCTGCCGCCGATACATTTGATAAGCTCATGTTTGGTAGCATTTATTTGATCTGCCTCTTTTCCGGCTCGATGATCCATCCATAGCATAATATTTCGGCTGTTATCACCGGTTGTACTCACGGTCAGTGGCTTATCATTTTTGTCAAGCGCCACCAACGAACAGGTTGCATCAAAACCAATTCCAATGATCTTATCCTTTGGACAGTCACGAATAACCGTCTGAAAACACAGATATTTATCACTTTTTTTAAAGTTTGAGGAGAAATTCAGAATTGTTTTCGATTTTTAGACATTTTTCTGTTTGAAATTGATTGTATAATCATACACCATCTACCAACAGATATCTACTAATATGAACGGACCTGGTAAAAAATGTTTTTTCAATGAAATCTATAAGAGAAATGGATTTTGAATGAATAAAATCGTGACAAACACCTGTACACATTCGCAGATTCCACTCCAAATATTATCAGACGATTGTTCATAGTGATCGGGAAGTGGATTCCATGTTTTTGTAGGTATTACGTGCACTTTTTTTACTCGGCCCGTTGAATCGACCAGAGCCGCACGGCAACTGCCTGTACCAACATCAACACCAACCAAATACGTTTCAGCCATTCTTAGATCGATAAAAAATTCATATATTTAAAAATCTCACAAAAAAAACAGGTAGAGCTATATGAAAAACAGAACAAAATTCACAGATGTTACAAATGAAATAACAGAAGGTTTGAAACGTCGTGCGAAAAAAACAAATCGACGATTATCTTTATCAGTGCGTTATCTCCAGTTCAATGTCAAAAGCGAATGATTGAAACTTGAATGATTACCCAATGGGCAATAGAACTGGAAAAGACATACTCTGTGTGTACACACTTGAAATTGACAGATAAAAAATAGTTCCTGATGTCAATTTTTAAACGAAATGTAAATAGAAACGTTCATATTAGCGAAATTTTTCGTTCATTTATTACAAAAGTCTCGCGTATAAAAGTGACATAATGGCAATACTTTTCTTTTGTCACTTCCATCGGTCTTTCAGTTATACTTCTGGCAGTTTTATCAACTGAATGCATCTTTAACTGAAAATTCGCCTAAGTGTATACTTTTATATTCTACTGTGTATTTAGTTTGATTTTACACTCATTTTTCCATTTGAAATTGCATTTGAAGCTTGTTATGGCCTGAAATATTTTAATCATTAAACGAACTTACATTCTTTGAAAGGCCAAAGCACTGCATTACTGATAATACAACTTCTTAAAATAGACAAAGTGGTTGATAACATCTAATACTATACTATGCAAATCTTATATAGACTATTGGAACGAAATTACATGAAAGTCTAACGGGGATAGCTTGGAACACAAATAAAAAAATTCAAAATATAAAAAATGTGTCTTTATTATCGAAATTTTTCTGTTGCGTTATTGACTATGTTGTTCTTGGAATTATTTGTTCGGGTGAAATTGGAAATAAAATGTCAGAAGTAGGAAAAAAAGAACCGAATCATATTGACGTGTGCTTGATTGGTATTGTTGCTATCACATATTAATTATGTACATAGCAAAGGACTACGGCTGATTGGTTGTTCCTGACTTTACGCCATTATTTTCATATCGTTTGATTTGATTTCAATTTTTCAATATATTATGGATAAATATTCCATTTTAAATAAAAATTGGTCTATGATGGCGCTGCTAAGGAGCGAATTTGATGAAATAAATAGTTCCGCATTTACACAAATCAATCTGAAAATATGTTGTCTCATTAAAATGTATATCTTTCTAGAATCTCATGTCACCAATTTTACCTGAATTTAAATCATAAAACTGAACGTATATGGTTATATAAGCAATAATTGCGGCTGTAAACTAAAATGATGAAAAAATATAGAGGAAGTTTTAAATCTAAAACGAGGTAATTTTACTTTGAACAAAGTTGCGATTTCAATTGGGAAAAGTCCTTTAGCATGCAACAAGATTGGATGATGAATAAGGTGAAGTTGAGATGTTTCGATCTAAAACCATAGCTTTTTACATATCATAAAGGCAATACAATCAAAGCGTTCAAAATAATTAAACAAATACTTCTTACCTGTAACATCAACATATTATCCCAAACATTAACATCAATACTGTTCAATTGAAACACTATGTTCTTTGTCTGAGTCCGAATATCGAATAATTAATCAGACAAAATTATTTAAAGGAGACAATTTATGAAAGCTTTGTAATACTATTCATACTACTATACCTCTTTGGAGCATCTTGTTACAGTTTCAAATAAAGAAAGGATCAATATCGGCGGAATGGCAACCAAAATTATTTGATCTATTGAAAAACTTACATTGAACAATGATTTTTTTTCTGTGATTTTTCTGGATACGACTTACGTATAGAGAGAATGGTAATTAACTCATTAAAATGGGTGAACATCCAATTGAACTCAGTTAAGACCACGTAGAAACAGTATGAGATTGCAGCCACTTGAGACAAACCAAATATTTGGTTTGAACAATTGGTCATTTCGTAAATATATTTGTAATATTGACGAACCCTTCTGAATCCATTTGATTGAAACCAAAACTTTTTTTTACTTTTATTTAGTTTGAGTTCATTATCAATCATTTGTAATTGATTGTCTAAGACTTCAATGCAGAACACATAGTAAACTACTCGGATTTCACACAATTTCAGTATTAGATAGTAAACATATGCGTATTCGGCAGCTTGGCCAATTAATAGAGCAAACACAACAAGATCCCAAATCGTCATAAAAAGGTACACCGCAAACTTCATTAAAAAATTGCTAACCGTGGTGTTGCGTTGATGAGGATAAGATTCGGTAATTTTTTCAAGAGTTTTCCAGAAACATCGATGTTCTCGTCTATAGAAAATTGAATCCACAACAGTAAACCAACAAAAATATAATGCAGCTGTGTACTGCAGCATTGAATTGATCAATTCGAGTATTGACTGAGAAATCAATTCAAATATCAAGCGAACTTTGTAAAGTGTAAAAAGCATCACCAATAATATATGCACGATGTAAATGAAGCACACCATCTTCCGCTGTCGGGATAGTTTAGATGATCCTGAATTGTATCCAAAAACGTCGAAGAAAATCAAAAGACACTTTATTCGCTTTGGCAACATTTCGATCTCATTCAAATTCACTTGTTCAACTGAACTTGCAAATGAAGAAAAGAATGATTCGACTTTGAATAAACACTTTAATTCTTTTAATCGAATTTATTCTGAATTGCCTGCATTCATATAATATATAATAGTAAACTATTGAAATATAGAAGAAAGAAAACTCATTATACATAAGCCATAATCCAAATCGAATGTCGATTCGCAATAATAAAGCAATTTTTTTCGATTTAATCGATTAAATTGATCAAATTATAAAAATGATAATTCTTAGAGCCGATAAAGTACCTACTAGTTTAATGACATACATAAAAAATGCTACTGAAATGACAGAACTTCTGAAGCTTCGGCGTTTCGGAAACAATTTTTAAATATTATTTTAACTCATAAAATTGAATGTATATGGCCATATAAGCAATGACTTTACCCGTAAGCTAAAACAATGGAAATATTATTAGTGACAGCCATAGAATAAGAGAAGATTATTGTACCTCAAGGACTATTCCATTGTCGATTAAGAAGACTCCTTTGGCATGCAACGAGATCGAATGATGGATAAGGTGCAATTGCGTTGTTTCGACCTGCAAAAAAAACAATGCTTCCTTACATTCACACATAAAACATTTTAATAACACTCAATACTTGTCAATACCTGTCTCATCAACATATCGTCGTAAACACTAAAGTTGATGCTGCCCAATTCAAAAACTATGCGCTTCGCCTACAACCAAAAAAAAATCCAATAATTGAACTGTTTTATTTGAATGTAACTTCCTTCTTTACCTCTGTGGAATATCGTGTTGCACTTTCAAATAGATAAAGAATCAGTAAAGGAGAGTGTGCAATCCAAATTATTTCGACTAATACAAGATATTCATTAAAAGTTCTGCTCTTATAATTCTTTCTGTAGATTATTATTTGGATAGAATCGGTCAAAAGACTTACTACTTATAATGAGAATGGAACGAAGCTCATCCAAATGAGTGAACATCCAATTTATCTCAGTTAGCGTCACGTAAAAGCAATACGAGATTGCAGCCAATTGAGATAAACCAAATACTTTGTTCAAACAATTTGTCATTTCGTAAGCATAGCTGTAATATTCACGAATCCTTTGAAATCCGTTCGAATCAAGCCAAAATCTCGTATCACTTTTATTTTGTTTGAATTCGTTGTCGATAACTTCCATTCCATTAAATAGTACTTCAACACAGAATATATAGTAGAATACTCTGGTTTCGCACATTTTCATTAGAATAAGATAAGCGAATACAATTTCATACTTTGAATCATTAGTTAGAAGAAAAATCATCATACAACACAAAGTCGATGAGCAAAAATAAATCACTAATTTAAGACATAAATAACCAATTGTGGATTTTCGTTGTTGCAGATGCGATTCGTTGAATTTTTGAAGAGTTTGCCAAAAAATTCGATGCTCTTGACGATAGACAATCGAATCGAAAACAATAAACCCATAGCAGTATAAGCTCGCAGAGTATTGCAACACTGAATTTAGTTTTTCAATCGGTCGCAAAATCACAAATGTGGGATACGAAATTATGTAAGCTTTGAATAGAGTATAAAACACCACCAATAAAATATGCACAAGATAAATGAAGTAGGCCGTCCTTTGGTGACTGGATAATTTCGATGATCCAGAATTGTATCCGAAAATGTCGAAAAAATTCAAAAGATTCTCGATTCTTTTTGGAAGCATTTTGATATTCGTAACCAATTGCTTTTGAATTAAACTTTTGAAGAGAAATAGGAAAACATTGACTACATTGCGTGAAGGTTTACTTTATTTTACTCTTTCAAATGGATTATAATTTTATAGGAATTTCATTTAAATAGGACTTGAACACTCATATCGAATATTATTAAAGTGAAATCGATCATTGATGAAAATGAAACCGATAGTAAAATCTATTGATAAGGTGATGCGATGTGCAGTTCGATTAATCACACAATTTCAACAAATGTTTTATTCGTTTTGTTATCGAGTCAAATTTATCACAAATTCACCAATTTAATTCATAGAACTGAACATAAATGACCATGAAAGCAACAATTGCAGCCGTAAACTAAAAACCGAGAAAGAAGAATTGCTTATGACAGTTACATTTACAAATTCAATTCTCTCCTTACTGTAAGTAGTGTTTTGTTGTCAATTGTAAAGAGTCCTTTTGCATGGAACACGATTGAATGATGCATTAAGTGTAATTGCGTAGCTTCAATCTAAAAATAGATATTTGCATCAGATGAAAAATTGTATTCCGTGTTGTAACGAAATACCATTTTGGTAGACAATTTTATTATGACATTTTACCTGCATTAGAATCATATCATTGAAATCATTAATATCAATAGGATTCAAATGAAATGCAATCATCTTCGCCTAAAATGAAGGAATTGGCTAGAATAATCAGGGTTAATGGAAGAATGAATCTAATTATTTTTTACCGTTACAAAACAGCGGGTTACACTTTGAGATAGATAAATTATTAATGGTGGAGAGTTGGCAATCCAAAGTAATGTGCCTAAATGGAATATGTCAATTTAGAAGAAAAACTTGCAGAAATAATGCATTAGATTTACCAAAAGCCCTCAATACAGGGATATCGTTGAAATGTACAAGCAAAATATTTATATGCGTTAGAATCATGTAAAAGCAATAGAAAATTCCAGCCACTTGAGATAGACCGAATACTTCATTTAATGAATTCGCCATTTCGTATACACAACTG